CTGCAATGCTCCAGTGGGATTCCTTCCCAGGTAATAACCCTCAGAGCTTGGGATGCTTGTCTGTTCTTGAGGTGAAAAGCACATGTCTGTGTTTTAGATGGGTTAAGGATCAGCTGGTTTTCCCTGTAATAAGCAGTAAGAGCACCTAGAGCTTCGGAGAGCACCATTTATTTACCATAATAATGATAATTAATAATAATAATAATAATGCATTGGAACTTGTGCCACAAATACCATCTGCTTGCCACAAAGAACTGGTGGGATCACAAGCCGGAAAAAGTTACAGAGAATGAACACGCCAAACTCTTCTGGGACTTTCGGATTCAGACAGACAGAGTTCTGGAGCACAAGACTCCTGACCTCACAATCGTGTTAAAAAACAAAGTATGGATTGTTGATGTCGCAATCCCAGTTGACAGCACGATTGCAGAGAAACAACTGGAAAAGCTGACATGACACAAGAATTTAAAGACCGAACTGCAAAGACTCTGGCACAAGCCAGTCAAGGGGGTCCCAGTGGTGATTGGCACACGGGTGCAGTGCCTAAAGACCTTGGCCTGCGCTTAAACACAATTGGCGCTGACAAGATTACTATCTGCCAGATGCAGAAGGCCACCTTACTGGGATAAGGAGCCCCCGGTGGTGCAGTGGGTTAAACCCCTGTGCTGGCAGGACTGAAGACCAACAGGTCATAGGTTCAAATCCGGGGAGAGGCGGATGAGCTCCCTCTATCAGCTCCAGCTCCTCATGCGGGGACAGGAGAGAAGCCTCCTACAAGGATGATAAAAACATCAAATCATCCAGGCGTCCCCTGGGCAACGTCCTTGCAAATGGCCAATTCTCTCACACCAGAAGCGACTTGCAGTTTCTCAAGTCGCTCCTGACACGACAAAAAACCAAAAAAAAAAACCTTACTGGGATCTGCACACATTATTCGCCGAGACATCACATAGTCCTAGACACTTGGGATCACCACTGGGACCACCTTGACTGACTTGTGCCAGAGTCTTTGCAGTTTGATCTTTAAATCCTCATATTGGTCACCAGATTTTCTTCATTTTCATGGTTTCTTCCTTTCTGTTGAAATTGTTCAAGTTTCTTCCTTTCTGTTGAAATTGTGAACAGAAATGTGGATATGCTGTAATTCTTTCCCTTGACTCTAGGCCAGATGTCAAAGCTACCCTTCTCCTGGAATCTGGGATTAGGATTCACACCACAGAATTCGAGTGGCCCAAGAACATGATGCCCTCTGGCTTTGCAATGAAGGTAAAATGTTGCTCTTGCTAGAGATTTATTGCACATCTGTATCGGTTGAGTGAAGTTGTATCAAGCAGGTCATCTGTGATTCTGTCCAAAAGCTTTTAAGCATCTCTACTTGTTGTTGTTGTTGTTGTTGTTGTTATGATTATGACTATTATATTTATTATATTTACATATTTATTTATATTGTCCCAAATCCTAAATGGTTTGGGACCCGCCTACCTTCATGACTGTATCTCCCTCCATGAACCAACCCGGGCCCTCTGTTCTTCTGGGGAGGCCCTTCTTTTGCCCCTGCCAGTGTCACAAGTTCGCCTTGCAAGCACAAGGGAGGGAGCTTTCTCCTCTGTCGTAATGAGTTCCCGACTCTGGAACTCATTACCTGGAGAGATTAGGAAAGTCCCCACCCTAGAAACCTTTAAAAAGAACCTTAAAACCTGGCTTTTCTGCTGCGCCTTTGGTGAGTAGGTATACAAACTCACACTATTGCTTAGCCTCAACGTTCTGTCAATAACCTGCTTCTCCTTACTCGAGTTTTTAATCAGTTTTTAATTAGTTTTCTTTTAATCATTACATGTAGCCCGCCCACTGTCATTGTGCTTGTGTTTATTGTAATTTTATATTGTTATGTATTCTTGTGTGTTATGTAATTATGATGTTGTTGTTTATTGTTTGCGTTTTCAGTTTTATACTGCTGTAATTTGTTGTTGGGCTTGGCCTCATGTAAGCCGCCCCAAGTCCCCAGCGGGGAGATGTTGGCGGGGTATAGATAAAGATTATTATTATAATTATTATTATTATTATTTATCTCTCCCAAAGTAGACTCAAATCTACTTAACATAAAAGCATCAGCACACAGTTCAAAATATGCAAACATTAAAACAGGATTAAATATAAACAGTATTTAAAAATTCCAATTTAAAAACCACGAAAATATGTTCAAAGTTGAAAACCACAGCACCCCCTGAATTGATATTAAAACTCTTCTTTAAAACACTGTCTGAATAAAAAGATTTTAGCCTTGGCCATGTGCATCTGAATATTTTTTCCTTCTTGTTTAGTAGCAGCAATGCACAGCAATAGGGCATAGGGTTACAGCCTGTGTTAGACAGGGTTCCACTCCCCCTGAAGACGCAGGTTCGCAGCTTGGGAGTGATCCTGGACTCATCACTGAGCCTGGAAC